TACTCTTACTACTTAAAGAATATTTGAAATTTTCATAATTACCCTTGTTTTTGCATTTGGTTTGATTTAATATTTTGAATTCGAATTATCCAAATTTTTTTAAAAAAAATTAGAGCTATTTAAATTGGTTATTTTTATCCAATATATCTACAGTACCCAAATTAACCAAAAAATATAAAAAATGGCTAAAATATATGAATATATACCAGATTGTAGGTTAGTTTTCGTTTTTAAAAGTTTAGAACTCATTCGTATATGCTAGTTCCTTAATGTTTTAAAAGTCAATAATTGTAATTTATGTTTACTAATAATTTATATTATTAATTTTTAATTATTTTTTAATGCATTATATTTTAAAATCATTTAAAAAAAAATTATTACATAACTTTATCTAATTATACTATTCAACCGCTACAATACTACCAATCAACCTTATATTTGAATTGTTCTCTGTTATCCAACCACCTTCTCTAACCGCTGATTCTAACCGTCTTGTTTCAAACGACTCACTACTCAGCCGCTCAAAAACTTTCAACCGCTCTTTTCAAACGGAGTCACCAATCGGACCCAAGAAAAATGTTAATCCGTGTATAGCGAAATGTATAAAAAATGATTAAGATATTTGTGTAGTATTCATTTGTTTTCGCAGTATAATCGAAAAATAAATACGCAATTTAACGAATAAATAGGATCATGTCGTTTGTTAGTGGATGAACAAAATAGCAGTGATTGTTCGTAAACGACGACATATTAATGAGAATTTAAAGGAAAACATATTTAGAGGCTGATCATTCTCATGGGTAATGAGAGTTTAAAGAAACACGAGAGACAAACACAAAAATTGACCGTGATCAAATATTGTTTAATCATATATATATTTATAATAGATGCGTATTTACACTGTATGAATCGGGAGATATCTCCCCTGCATACAGAGCTGCATAGTCTACTCTGGGCCCTTCAGAGCCTACGCTAGAAACAATGGTATTGTGCGCTGTTCACCACGGATTCCCAGAAGCTAGCTGCAATGGTACAGGAACCGGAAAAATGGTCGCGTTTCAGAACCGAATTAGAAGAATACAAGGCACTTCGAGCGTGGTTCCTGACTTTACTTTACAGTACTGCCCCAGGGAGAGGAATGAGAAGGCCGATCTACTGGCCCGGACCGCTCGACTTCGAAATCTAATTTTTTTCTTATGTTAGCACGTCTACTCCGCATTGGTTTCCAGATACGAACGTGTTTGGTTAATCAAGAAGTGAAGTGCGTTCGTGACAAAAAAAAAAAAATAGATGCGTATCTACAATGTGATATTTCGGTCTAATAAATACATGGAATTTAGTTAAAACAAAATTAGAAAACGACATACACACTAAACAAAATTATCCCTTTTTCCACGCTGATTACTTAAACTTAAAGCCAGATTAGGCTTCTTCTTCTTAAGTACGACTCTTTTTATTTCATTTTTCACAAAAGGCTAAGTATACTATATACAACTAACTTGTTATGCAAAACAAAGGAAAAAAACGAACTAACTTGTTATGCAATCGAAGTAACACATATCAAACAAAAGTTTAAGAGTTAACCAATATTGTAAACTATTTGTTTATGACTTAATGCACATCACACTTGTGTACATTTAAAATACAAGAGAAATATCTTGAAGTATCACACATCACATTTTAAGTTTTTGTTATAAACAAAGCACCATTAATTTAAACTTTTAGTAATTAACACAAATTATTATGTGAAAATACTCGTTTATCATAAATGAATTGCAAACAAAATTTAAAAAAAAAAAAAAATTTGAGTTCCATTTTGATAATGGATTTTATTATTATTGAAAATCTAAAACTAATAATTGTATCTGTATAAGTAAACCAAATGGTG